GCTTTCTCATAAGCATAGGGTAGCTGTAGCAGAACAGCTATACTGTCCTTCAGGGAAGTAAGAGGTACGTTTGACCACAACTGGCTGCATAAATGAGTGAACCTGATGAGAATGGGGTAGAGGAGGTATTACCATACTACGTTCACACTATACAGCATAGGTGCAAGCATCCTCTGGGTTCCATGTGGTGGTCAAATACATATTTAATTATTTTTGTACATATCTTTCAGTTAAAAGCATCTGAAATAATGTTCAGATTATTTCACTCAGCAGAATAGTGTTCTTATGGCCAGCTGCCAAAGGCACGTGCTGTATGCCCTTGGCAATGCATTAGGGTGAAAAAAGTTTCAAGACTTGTTGAGACTGTTTAGAGTATGGCGTAAGAGAGAAGAAGCTAGACCTGGTGTGGTCTAGTGTTTAAAGGGTACACTGAGTGGGTCAAAGGTGTGCATAGGAGCACATTCAGATTTTAATGCAGATGGTACTAAGTGATAAATTCTGAAAGAGAACTTGAGAGAAAACCATCATATGTGCAATTAGGACAATCAGGGAATCAGGACTTGGGAGAAAATCAGGGAGCTAAGTTATGTAGGAGTCTAATCTCTTTTAGACTGTAGAATGCTATGGAGTGGCAAAGAAGTAATTGTTCTTTTTACATCTGGCTTTTTAATATCTTTCTTCATTGCCTCTTAATGACTTACCAGTCCAGTCTTGACTTTAAAGAACTCATCAAGAAGCCTGCTTTTGATTTAAACAGGAGCTTTTCAGGCCCTGTAGGACCTGAAAGTGCAGCGAGGTAATAAGCAAAATAATTATTTAACCTAAGGAGTGAGTTGCCTGACTTCATTGGGAAATGTCTGGAGAAGTGTGAAACACTGAAATGAATTTACAAGTGGACTGGAATTTTCTCAGATTTTAACAGCAGCTTAAGGTTGAAAATTGTTGGACAAGACCATTAAGAAACAGCAAATATATTCAACAGGTGGAAGAAAAAATGTACCCGTCGAGCAAAGTCATATTTGTGCCTTAAAATTCAGTTAGGTATGTGATAAGAATTTCTTTTAATTTGTCATACAATTCTAAAGTGAAGAAAGCTGTTGGGTTGCTAAACTCAATTTCTACATGTTCATGCAGATGATGCACCAGTTTCAAGGGCAGAACTTGGCACTAAGCACAAAGACACAGCTGTGTGCTTGCAGTTAGAAAGCACAGCTCTTGCACTTTCCATTTTATGAAGTTGCATTTTGAGCACTTTGTGAAAATAACCTTTGTACATTTTCTTTTAATAATCAAATCTTAAACTCTTACCCTTTGAAAAAAACTTAATAGTGTAAGTAACTTTAGTAGGCCCAGTACTGAGGTCGTTTCCCTTTGAGTACTTAATTGGTTTCAATCTAGACATATCTATCTCAAATAGCTATGACAACTCTGATAAATATTTCATTGCTCAATTCTTATGTCTCTAGATGGGCTAATTAGTGATTCATACATAGATTTTTTTTTTCCATGACAAAACAGATCAAATTGACTCTCTCCTGAGAATATCAAGTGTTTAGTAGTATCAGTGGACATATGAGGCCTTTTAACAGAAACATCAAATATTTTAATTGAAGTAATAATATAGCCCCAGTAAATATCAGTATGATTGCTAGCTATGCTGTTGGAAATAGAATGTTTATACAGATCTGTAGCACAGTTTACACTTTGCTGCTTTGTGCGCTCAGAAGTTTCCTGTCTAAATGACTGATACATTTTTTTTATAACTGCTTCAGGCCATTCCGTATTTATTAATAATTGAAAATCAGTTTGGGGAATTAATGACTAAGAAATTTGGGATCAGCTGAGAATGGTTGGCCATTCCTAAAAATATTTTTTTAAAATGCTTTCACTTTTTTAATTTTTTTTTTTTTTTTAATGATGAATTTGGGATAGTCCTGGTCTGTGGAGGAACAAGACAAAACCATTTGACATGGCTACTTAAGCTGTTCTTCAAGAAGTAAAAGGATTCAGTACCATGCCTACTAATTCTCAGTCCTATGTGAGTGCATGTGGAAGTCATTGAACAACAGGAAATTTACTATTGCTGAAGACTGCCTATATATATCTGCATCTTTAAACAGAAGTTTCAGTTGGGTGATATTTTATCTGCTTTGGAAACTGTGTTGTTAATATCTGATTTTTTTTCTTCTAGTATCGAGCAACTACTCTGCCTGCATTTAAGTATTATGTGACTTGCGCCTGTCTCATATTCTTCTGCATTTTTGTTGTGCAGATTCTGGTATTGCCAAAGTAAGTGGTATTTAATATCTACTCATTCCTATATATATTTGATCATTAATGTAAAACATAAAATAAAACTTATACATAAAAATGCATAAGTAAAAAACTTTGGAATTGTCAGATTACATAGGTCAATTCATGGAAATGAAATTGGACAGAGATGACAGAGGATTTCAGCCCATTTTCAAAGTTATGCTTGTTTCTAATTTTAAATGCGGTCCATAGCATGGTGCCAAGTGTTAATATCAATTCTTCATTCATTTTAGTTTTTCTCTTTGCATTTAAAAATGTGTGATGATGACAGGAATAAAATTAATATGTGTAAAAAAAAAGTAATACAAGCTATAATTTTGTGCAACTAAAATTACATGTAAAATAAGTGTGACAATTTGATGTTGAAGTGGGACAAAATGGATTGCAGAACTGGGACTGTGATTAACTGAATGTATTTAACATCTTACTGTGATAGCACTGCTCTATTCAGCATGCAAACAGAGCATTACTATTCATAAAATGTCTCAATTTAAAACTAATCTTAAAATATTATGATCAATTGCTGGAATAATTATTTTTATCCGAATTTATATATTAGGAGCTAGTTCATATTTGTGCATATAAATCAGCTGTCTATCAGCATATTCTAGAAAGACTGAGAAATCTGGAAGACAGCTCCAATAAAGAGTATTTTATTAGATTTCTTAAAATGGAATTTTGCTGCTGATTGTTTACATAGTGTAAAGTTGGTATTTGCTTTATAGTAGTTGCTTCGGAGGCCAACACTGTATATTCCCTGTCATACAGTATTTCTTCACCCATAGTCTTTTCCCCTGTGCAGTGCTTTCAGGAGTAGTATTTATAACAGTTGATTGATTGGTCCTGTGCTGTAGTATTTACATTTTAATTCAAAGCCAGAAGGAATCGTTAGGTCATTATAAATTGACTTTCCACCGTGCAGACATGTTTTATAACATGTATAAAGTTTTATGGACTTCTATTCAGATGTTACAGCATTTTCTTTGCAAAGAGTTTCCCAGCTTGTTTCTGACACAGAGACGCAAGCTGCAAAGGGACACTCTTCCAAGAGTTCAGCAGTATCCTGCACATGGTTCAATCTGAGTTTAGGCATTACTATTGCAAAATATGAAATGAAGACTCATGACTAGTTTTATTTGTCATTTTGCATAATGAGTATTATTTTACAAACTCATACTGTATTTTGATTAGTGCAGGAATTAATTCAGGGCAATTCATGGTTTGTGATATACCAAAACCCAAACTTGGATCTAACTAGGCCCTTCCAGCAGCATGATTTATGAATCTGTTTTTATGTTTTGATTTCAGTCATGAAAATGAATCTAGATTTATCATCTATCATACATGTAGTAAGATGCTCATTTTTCTATATCCTTATTATGTGTCTTAAAGCAATTGTGTACCTCATTAAAATATATCAGATACTGAAAATTGGTGAACTCTAGGGAGCTGTATTCAACTAAGGAAGTGTCCACCAGCTTGCAAAAGCATATGCTGATATTACATGATGTCTTCCTAACATCAGAGCAGAAAATACATATGATTTGTCATTTTCATTACCAAAATGTCAGTTATCTTTTCGTCATTTTATAGGGCTGCATGTTAAATTGTAAAAGCAAGAGTGTAAAGATCAGGTATTACCAACATGAATGGTATTCAGCTTCAAGGGGTCTGTTGGTTAATTTAAGAGATGCAAAAATGGAAGACAGAAAGGCAAGGTTTTGTACAGGAATCTGTATCTTTGCTGGAAAACCGTGAGCATTGCGAATTTGAAGAAAAGAAAAATTGAAAAATCACCAGTGTATGTAGTCATCACAAATGTAGCTTAATTTGAGTATATTCCAGAGCTGCAAATGTTATTTCCTTACAGAAAATAAATAAATAAATAAATAAATAAATCATAGTTTAGTCTAAAATTCTATCTATCCTATTTGTTTTCTTCCAAAAATTCTACAGGATTTTTAAATGGTGATGTAATGAAGACAGGGAGATAAACTACATCACTTTTTTAATTACAGAAATTCACTATTCCATTAATCTGGTTTTGCAGCAGTGTAATATCATTGATTTCTGTGCAGGCACACCACCTGCTGCTTTAAAATATATTTGGAGATAATTGATGGTGAGTGACATCCAGAAAGTTGCAAGTAACAAGTAATATCTCCAAGATCACAAGACATTTATTTCAAGGCTGAAATAATATTAACGTTTTAATTTTCTCAGGGTCAATAAAGTGATGTGGTGTTTTCATAATAAACTTTACACAAAGTGGTATATATGAATTTAATCAAGTAAACAATATCTTGGGGTGAAAGTATCATGAGGTCTTTATTATGATATTAAATTTACATCAAATCTTGATCGTTGCATTTCCTCAGAACAGGCCTTCAGTGGCTCCCTAGCATTCTTGGTTTACCAAATGATGGAAGTATCTCTAGTAATTCACTACAAGCCTACATTCTTTATATAGGGAAACAGTCAACTAACATGGAATTGGCAGTGCTGTTGTTTGAAATGCAAACTGGTGAAGTGGTGAAAGTATATTCCTATTGAACAGGAGCTACTTCTTGTGCTATTCGAGTAAGGGATTTGTTTGGGGATACATTTAAGATTCTTCCCAAGTCTTCAATCTCTGAGACTGCTATGTTCAAGAAATTGTGTCCTTCTGTCCTGAGTCATGCCAAACTAGCAGTCATCTTGTTCTACTCATGGAAGGTGGTTAGGAGGCCTTAACATAGTATTCCCAGTCAGGCACAGCTGAATTTCTTCATAGAAAAGGTAGTACTTAAAAACTTTGACTGAAAGCAGGCGTGTAAAATATAAGACAATATAAATGAAAGAAAAACACTACTACTAGCTGTTTTTCTGCCGTATCTGATTGAAAAAAAATCAAGTGGAGTTATCAAATGATTTTTTCTTAACACTGAAACTGCCATACTTTTAGTCTACATAGCCATTGAATCCATCGATGGCTTAGTGAAAACATCAGTTGAGTTAAGAAAGAAATAGCTACTATTAGATATCAAAAAAAGTCTGAATTCAGTATTTCCTTGTATAATTGTCGTTTGTAATTGCTTCATTATGATTTTATCACCTCAGGAGAATTTGCAATCAAATAGTTCAAAACATGAATGTTAATTACCTGGCAAGCTAAGGAAATTCTCTACATCCCATTAAGGGACATGTGCCATCAGTCATATATTTTCCTTAAAGTTACAAAAGTGTAGAAAGAATGCATTCTCTTCTCCATTTTTCAGTATCTTTTTCTTCATAATAAATTATTATTTTTCAGTGAAAATGTTGCCAACAACACATAAGTATGTACAAATATAACTTTTTTTCCAATCTCATACCATCTGATAAAAATGAATTATTCAGAACAGATATTCACTGATGAATCCAGACAAATAAGAGAAGGATAGCCAAGATCATAAATTATTTAGACTTGGAACTATCTGAAGCTTGGGAAGTTTTCATATTGTTTCCTCAATTTTTAACTCCATCCCTCTGTAGGCTATTGTCAAGGGTTGACCTGTCAGGGTTCCTGGTGGGGCACCGTAGCAGAGAGACCTTTCAGGAATTAGGTCATTGCTTAAAGCACAGGAAGAGGCAGGTAAAAAGTTAGCTGGCTTATGGGATTCCAGGTGCTCTTTTGACAAAATGGTTTGCCCAAATTTGTCAATGCAGTGCATTTGGTGACTTGTGCACTGTGTTTGATGACTCTACACAATAAAGATGAGATAAATTTACTGTAAAGACCTGTACTGTTTTTATAACGTACCAGTGACAAAAAATAAATGCATGTTATGGCTTTCCTATGGTCCTTGCCTCAAATGAGGCTTGTTTATGGTGGCACTTCATTTGTAGTATTTTGCTTCCCATTATAGCATTTTCAGCCCACTTCTTTCCTTCTAGGAGCAGCGTGAAACTACTTTGGCTTAGCCTAATTGAAATAGAAGTCCCGCTGTTCCCAGAAAAGAAGGGGGTGTGGGGAGCAAAAATCTTACAACTTTTTTTCTCTGTATTCACCACTCAGATACCACTTTTCCTTATTCTCAGTCCTTTTCTCTTTGTCCTGTTCATCAGAATCTTACTCACCTTACTATGTAATTCTTTGTCTTGTGCCACCTCAGTAACATCATTAATCATGTAAAACAGCTACAAAGGCCTTTTGTTCTTGCCAGTTGCCCGTGTGATTAAGTACTCTTCACATACTCTTCTGTTGCTTACTAGATTTTAAATTGCTAAGAGTAGAGACTGTAGTTTTGCATATTCTGATGTATGGTTTACTGTCTCAGTCTTGATGAGAAATTCTTGGAGAACATGTATTCATAAGCAATAATGATTTTCAAATAACTTCTAAAAGAAACATTATTTCAAGATTAATATATGTTGTGAATTGCCAGTTGTTTGTTTTTCATCAGCTGTTCACATCAACCCAAAATCTGATGAATAGTTAGTGTATAAGAGATTCTCTGAATGATTGGCAGGGAAGCTTATAAATTATTCTCCAAAATGTTCTTAATGGCAGCAGTATGGCATCAAAGTGGTTTTTGAAGTTAATGCTTTTTTGTTCTTTCCTGAAAATAGCTTCTATAACACTGTTATTAAAACAGATCAAAATGTTTTCCAATATTTGTACGTAATCTAAGGAAATTGATCCATAGAGTTCTACTCCTAAATTTTTAATATTATAGTTTCTAAAATGTTTATATTTGCATTCACATGGCATCTCTAAAGAACAGAAATGTATGCTTTCATTAATAATGTATTTTAATTCTGAATCATACGTTTATGGAAGAGCTAACTTCAAATGTAACATTTATTATAGTTTTGTGGAAAAAGTGAGGAATATAAAACTTAATTCTAAAACATCATGCCAATATTTCTAGCATATAAGGTTTGATTTGCTGGTGCTCAAAGAAGTTGAGAAATATTTTTTAATTCTGTAAAAATGTCAAATCTGTAGTTAAAACTGAAAGCAGATGCTCAGGTGAGGGACTTTAAGATGCCATCTAGTTCCCTTGCTTAAACAACGCAGTTGGTCCAGAGCTTCTGATCTCCTCTTGGCATTCATTAAACGTCATTAGGTCGCACTGCATCTTTCCCTGGGCAACCATGCTAAGTAGCTCTCGTATGGTGCCTGATGGAGCAATTACGCTCTGCTGTGGTATTCATATGGAGACATTTCCCCATTTGTGGAATGAACGCATGCACGGTTTGTTGCTGTATCCCTGTTTCTGTTTGCTGAGTATCTAGTGATGCTACTTTGGCTAGACTTTCCTATTTCTAACACACAAGAAAGGGATGAGCTAGAACGCTGAGTTAGGATGATTTCAGGGAAAGTATAGGTTATTCAATTTTTTTCATTGAAAGTCTGTTGTTGTTCTTTCTTTTCTTCATGGTGTTTAGTTTTCCTTCCTGTCCTCTGATACTTCAGAATCTACTGGCCAGCCAGTCAGATTTGATACAAAGTGGAGTTTTCAGAGGTGTTGAATCCCTATCCATTCATGAAATAGCAGCCACTGTATTAGGGCCCTTGCTGACTGAGAAACTGGAGCATCACAGATATCACAGGTTCTAGCTGCGAGACACTGAAAACTGGACATCCCTGTCCCATGCTATTGCTTTTCTACTTTTAGGGGAGAATGTACACTACCAACAAGTTTATTTTGTATATCTATTAGACTCTTAAATTATTATAAAATCAACAGCATAAAAATAAAGCAATAAGGATCTTCATTAATACCAGCTTTCTAAAATGAAAACAAAACAAAACATTGCTGCTGTTAATGCACTTTGTTATTTAAATTATTTGTCTGGAAATTATTATCTTCTCATGGTAATAGTTTTGCAAAGTCAGAGGTAAAGCCAGTTCAAGCATTCCTGAGATGAGAAAAAGGCAGGAAAAAAGCCTGTCATTCTGGTAAGGACTGGAATTGGTTTTGCATGGTGTTGATGTTTGGAAGTTGCAACTTGCACATGGTAATTTTTTGTATCATCAGTATTATACATAAAGAAAGGTCATGCTACAAATGTGTAACAGAGAAATTAACACATGTTTTCCTTTTCTTGTAGAACATCTATTCTTGGAATTTCATTTGGGGCTGCATTTCTCTTGCTTTCCTTCATTTTGTTTATCTGCTTTGCTGGACAGCTTTTGGTAGGTATTCAAGGAAATGTAATCCAGTAGTTAATGGTTTCTTTTAAATAACATGTTCTGATTCTGCCAAGGCACTCTGCCTTTGCAGAGTACCAGTTAAATGAGAAAGGCTTGCACGCTCAGGCTTCTGAGGACATTGTTTTGTCCATGTTAACTTGCTGTAAAATGTCCTCATTTATCTGAAAAACAGAAAGTGTCAGTGCAGTGACTGTCTGTACCTACACTGATATTCTCTTTCCCCCGTGAAGCTGCATCCTCTGAGAGTTTTGCATTATTATTTGATTGATTGCATTTTCAAAAATTTTTGCTATTGTGCTTACAGGAAGTAACTCATCTTAGGCGTGCTTTAATTTGGAGGACTGTGTATTTGTTTAAGTATTCTATAAGACCGTTTTCTGAGTTTAGAGAATATTTCACAATAACAATTTAATTTTATATATAAAAATGTTATAGTAAAATTCTAATTTTTACATTGAGTGTTCCAAGTGTTACTGTAATGCCTATTAGTGTACCCAATAATATGCTGAATTTGAAAATTTCATTTAATTCAAGATTTGGGCAAATGTTTCAACATTCACAATATAGTTTACAAGTATTATTGTCCTCCTTTCAGTTATTGTCAAATAGATCCAACATAGTACTCCATCTAGAACAAGGCATTTCAGGATTTGTAAGAAAGCTAATGCAATTTGAATTTGGCATGTAACACGGAGTAAAACTGTTTGTATACTTGTCACTTAATCCCCACTCTCTCTCTTTACATCTTTCCACAAGCTCCCATGGACAAAGTTGAGAGAAAGATCTTTTATAGAAAAGCAAAACATGCACATGGGAAAGACAATTACATCACTATGCAGTAAAACAGTAAGGAAAGGTGGCCTGGCAGTTAAAGCAAGAAACAGAGGAAGCAGGATTTTATAATTTCTCCCTCTTCCCTTGCGACGCTTGTAATTAACCAGGACATTTTTTTAAGAAAATGTAATTAATGTACATTTCAGTTGCCTTTCCAATAAGGTAGGAATGCTGCCACTGCTCATGAATTAAGCTGAGATACAATGCAACAGTATTTTAAAATAATTTAAGTCCTTGGAGTAAGGTCCTAGTGGTATTGCTGTTACTGAACAGCAAAAACTAGTTCTCATGTAATGTCATACTTGATTGCTCTTTGTTATTGACATAAGAGAAACATAATGGAGTCAGAGTACCGCTGTTGAATAAGCAAATGAAAAAAAAAAATCCTTCAAGGTAAAGCCAGCCTTTTCCCTGTAGGAAAAAGAGGTGCCAATGAAATGGTATCAAGAAAGGCTGGGATGTACACTCTCCTGGGGCCTATTTATTTATAGTGTAGCTTAGGAGGAATACAAACATATTTTTCTGCATTTAAAGGGATGGCTAAGCAGATATCTAAGTCAGAGTTGAGGAGTCATGCCAGCTGAATAATATCTAACACCTACTTTCAATGCTGTTTTCCTATATCTTGTATGTACTGTAAATACTTCCCAGAAATGGAGACCGTTCATTGCATTTCTGTTGACTTGTAAGATGTCATGTGCTAACCTAAACAGCTTGAAAAGGAGTTATGTATGTCTATGACTTTATGAATTCAGCTGCTTTAATGCAGAAGCTATGCTGCTAAGAAGCCTTTCAGCGAGTAAGTTATGACCATAGTTGATGCAGCGCTGTCTTTCCTTCATGAGCACAGACATAGTTCTGTAAGGTGATGGATAAGAGACAGCTAACAAAAGAGGCAGTAGGTTTATCTTTCCCCTGTCCTATCCCTAAGGTTTGTTCCTTCATGTCAAAATCCAAGTATTGTTTTGCAGCTTTAACCGCAGTGACACCCTATGTTATGTTTTGGTAGCATGTCCATTGCAGTATTTGACCCATAACTGTAAATGCTTTCTTTCTAGAAGAAAAAGTCTGAAATTCTCAAGCAAACAAGTATCAAAATCTGGATTTTAACATTATAGTGCTAGTGTTAATAGAAATCAAGCTTTATTGTCCTAATCCTGATTGGGTTTGGAGTATTTTTTTGCCAATATGGGTTTTTCTCACATCTTTTTCTTAGGGAATACATTTTGGGATTCCCTTGCAGAATGCATGTAGTAAATGTGGGTATGCTTGTCTGTACACACACTTGCACGTAATTACAGAGTTTAAACTCACCAAATATCTCTCTTCTAAAAATGCATAGAAAAAGAAGAGAATTTTTGGGGCCTGACTGACCCTGACAGATGGGCTATGGTGGGTTAGCCTTGGCTATGGGCCAGACACCCACCCAGCTGCTCACTCACTCTGCCTCCTCAGCAGGATGGGGGAGGAAAATAGGATGAGAAAGCTTGTGGGTTGAGGTAAAGGCAGGGAGATCACTTACCAGTTACCGTCATAGACAAAGCAGACTCAACTTGGGGAAAACTGATTTAATGTATTGCAAATTAAAATAGATTTGGATAGTCAGAAACAAAAACAAACATTAAAGCCACACAATTCCTCCCCCCTCTCCCAAACTCAACTTCACTCCTTTGCTCTAGTCTCCTCTACCTCCCGCCAGGCAGCATGAGGAGGGGTGGAGGGTGGTCAGTACATAGACATTTCTCTTTGCTGCTCCTTCCCTTTACATTTTCCCCCTGCTCCAGCATGGGATCTCCGCAGGCTGCAGTTCCTTCAGGAGCACCCACCTGCTCCAGCATGGATCCTCCACTGACTGCAGTGTGGACATCTCCAGCATAGAGTACCTCCTCCTCCTCTGGTTTTGGTGTTCCCTTTGCTGTTTCTCACTCTTTTTGTTCCCTCCTCCTCTCTCTGCCCAACATTTTCTGCCCTTTCTGCCCCAGGCTTTCCCCGAGGTGCCTGCCTGTGGCTGAGGGGCTCAGCTGTGCCCGGGGCAGGGGCGGTTGGAGCCGGCTGGAATGGCGATGTCCGGCACGGGGCAGCTCTGGCCTCTCCTCCCAGAGGCCACTCCTGCAGAACCCCCCACCAGCACCTGGGCACCTGTACCTGGTACATAAACTTGCAGCAGTAGTCAAATATTTACATGACTGTTACAAGATTCATGGAGTGGGACCTGTAGTGCTGGCAAAGACAGCAAAATCTAAGTTCAAGTTAGGACACCTGGCTGTCACTGCATTATGTGCTTGTCTCAATACTTTGATGCTTTGCCCCCTCAGTCTCCACTGATTAGAAATGGCTGTCACCACCGCGGAGTAAGTCACACAAAAACCAACTTTGAACGAGTTTCTCTGAATCATTTTCATTTCATTGGTTAAAAAAAAAAAAAAAAAAAATCCAGACTGCAATGCTGAAATTACTAGCAGGTACAGAATTTAATTACAATATTGTAAGAAGAGATTTATGCTCAGTCTTTCACTCTGAGTTTATTATTAGTTGATTTTTACTGTTCAGCAGCACTGCAGCGTGGACCAACTCAATCTGTTGTGGATTGATAATATCAGCCGTTAAATAAGAATAGGAATGTTTCCATCAAACGATGCGGCAGAGCAGTAGCACCAATAATGAGGTTACAGACTTCCAGATCCTGCCTTTGCGGCGTGTCATACCCTGCTGGTCTTGGGCAAACAGGCCGAGGGCAGGGAGGGCTGACAGTTCTCATAGAAACAGTTTGCCGATAGGCATTAAACCCTCATCAAGCCTAACTAAAATTGGCATGTGTCCTGAAACTTGAAATGCATTTCTCTTTTTTCTGTTCTAATTACTTCTTTGTCCTGATGCTTTTTTTTTTTTAACTTTTTTAGATAATCAGAGTGTTCAGACTAAAATCTTAAGACTATGAGTATTTTTGTCTTAAAGTTCCTTTTTGGTTTATATTTTCATATTTTAAATGTTGGCTATTCTTTTTTATTAATTTTTAATATTTTCTTTAAACTTTCCATGAGAGATTTCCTTTGCAAATTACATGCAGATAGAGGATAGTGATTGTCCTTTAGCTCATGTATTTTCTATGTCTCTTCTCTTTATCTTCTTGAAGTATAGACAAGTTCATAGAATGAGTGTGAAATGCCTCAGACCTGGTAACTGTTAGATGTGTTTTACCTCCTGATGTGAATGCAAGGAAGCAGAGATCTGGTCACCTAAATGATACGTTGGAAAATGTAATGCAATCAGTAGGAAAAAACAACACAGTAAGCATGTATAGACCTCTGTGGTAGCTGAGGTAGCCTGCTGTAGAAGTATTAGTCTCAAGCAGGTGTTCTTTGTGCACTAATTCACATACTGTCTCAAAAATTTCTTTGCATTACCTGGGACATGCGTGCACTTAATTGATACCGCATACTCTTTGTGCCAGTTATTTTCCATTAATATGAAATGGCTTTTTGTTGCATATGTTTATACCTTGCAAACCTCTTTAGCTACTCCAACTAACAAGGAAGAGTAGAAGTAATAACATTTCTTTCCTATCATCTCATCTGAACATGTTTTATAGTCTCTCTTAAATACACAAGTGAACCATAGATTAGCAGAACATAATAATTAAAAAAAAAACCTATCAGGAAATAATTGGCTCCACTGTTGAGAAAGATGTTCTGATTTAAGGTCACCAGATCATCTAACAAAGTGTAGCCAGTATGTAAGCAGTCCTGTCCCTGCTAAAAGAAAGCATGTTATTTATTAGTTGCATTACACCACACTACTGTATAAAGAATGATACACAATCTTTACCTTTTTTTGCAAGGATTTGCATTTTACTCTAAAGCAGCTGACATTGGTACTTAACAGTCAGAAAGACTGTGTACAGTTAAGATACTTAAAAGCTCTGCAAGGACAGGAGTATCTGTTGTAGTTCTAGCACTAGTTGGAAATTATTTTTGACCTGGAATCTTACCTCTCATCCAAGTGTCTCTCTCAATGCAGATACAAATGAAAGATTGAGGCCCTTTAGTTTCTTCAATAGTAAGGCTTTGCTTGTAAAATAAGATTAAAACAGGGATGGGGGAAATCAGGGAGAACCCAGAGAGGCACTTTGGCACCTACAGCAGGGTCCA